TGAATTAGCATCATCAGTGACAGCAGCAACATTGTCATCAGCATCATCAGCATTAGTTTCATCAGCCTCAGCAGCATCAGCATCATCAGCGTCATCTTCAGCATTGTAAATGCCAGCAGCATCAGCAACATCAGCATCAGTGTCAGCAGCATCAGCCTCAGCAGCATCAGCATCGCATATGCTTCGGAAGCATCAGCATCAGCATTTTAAGCGTCATCATCAGCATCATCAGTGTCAGCAGTATCATCTTCAGCGTCATCATCAGCATCATCAACGTCAGCGTCATCATCACTGTCATCAGTGTCACCAGCATTATCATCGTCAGCGTCTGCATTAGCATCGTAGCAGCAGCATCGTCAGCAGCATCGTCAGCATCAGCATCATTAGCTTTAGCATCAGCATCATTAATATCAGCAAGGTCATAATCAGCATCAGCAGCGTAATCATCACCATCAGCGGCGTCAACAGCGTCAGCGTCATTAGCAGCATCAGCAGCATCACGAGTATTATCAGCATCAACAGCATCAGCAGCATCACGAGTATTATCAGCATCAACAGCATCAGCAGCATCAATATAATTAGCATTAAAATCAGCAACATTATCAACATCATCAGCATCAGTTACATCAGCATCATCAACAGCATCATCAGCATCATCTGCATAGGAATCAGCAGCATCATGAGCGTTATAAGCATCAGCATCATCAGCATCATCAGCATTATCAGCATCAGTTACATCAGCATCAGCATCAGCAGCACCAGCATAAACAGCATCACCATCAGCATCAGCATCAACAGCATCAGCATCATCCTCAGCATCATCATCAGTAACATTAGCATCAGCATCAGTTTCTGCAGTATCAGCAGCATCATCAGCATCAGCATCATTAGGATCATTAGGATCATCAGCATCAGCGGCATCAGCAGCATCTGCATCAGCAGCATCAGCACCAGCAGCATCACTATCGCATCAGCAGTATCAGCATTAGCTTCATCAGCATCATCATCAGCATCATCCGCATCAGAAGCATTATTATCAGAGTCATCATCAGCATCATCAGAGTCAGCAACATCAGCATCGGATGTCAGCAGCATCAGCCTCAGCAGCATCAGTATCAAATAAGCTTCAGAAGCTTCAGTATCAGCATCATAAGCGTCATCATCAGCATCATCAGCGTCATCATCAGCATCATTAACGTCAGCGGCAACAGCAGCCTCCACATTAGCAGCATCCGCATAAGCAGCATCAGCATCAGCAGCATCAGCATTGCAAAAGCCGTTTCAGCATTAGCTTCATCAGCATCGGCATCATCAGCATCAGAAGCATTATTATCAGTGTCTTCAGCAGCATTATTAGCGTCAGGGTCATCATCAGCGTCATCATCAGCGTCATCATCAGCGTCATCAGCGTCACCACCATTATCATCGTCAGCGTCTGTATTAGTATTGTCAGCAACAGCAGAAACCTCGTCAGCAGCATCGTCAGCATCAGCATCAGTTTCTTCAGCATCAGCAGCGTCATCATCAGCATCAACAGCGTAATCATCAGCATCAGCAGCGTCAGCAGCGTCAGCAGCGTCAGCAGTATCAGCAGCATTAGCAGCATCACGAGCATTATCAGCATCAGCAGCATCATCGACAGCAGCATCATCAGCATCAGCATCACCATTATCAATGTCAGAACCAGTAGCATCAGCAGCATCCACAGAGTCAGCAGTATCATCATCACTGTCATCAGCAGCATCATTAGCGTCAGCGTCATCATCAGCGTCACCAGCATTATCATCGTCAGCGTCTGCATTAGCATCGTCAGTGACAGCAGCAACATCGTCAGAAGCATCGTCAGCATCAGCATCACCTTCATCAGCATCAGGAGCGTCATCATTAGCATCAACAGCGTAATCATCAGTATCAGCATCGTCAGCAGCATCAGCAGCATCAGCAGCATCAGCAGCATCAGCAGCATCAGCAGCATCATCGACAGCAGCATCATCAGCATCAGCATCACCATTATCAATGTCAGAACCAGTAGCATCAGCAGCATCCACAGAGTCAGCAGTATCATCATCACTGTCATCAGCAGCATCATTAGCGTCAGCGTCATCCTCAGCGTCACCAGCATTATCATCGTCAGCGTCTGCATTAGCATTGTCAGCGACAGCAGCAACATCGTCAGAAGCATTGTCAGCATCAGCATCAGCTTCATCAGCATCTGGAGTGTCATCATTAGCATCAACAGCGTAATCATCAGCATCAGCAGCGTCAGTAGCATCAGCAGCATCAGCAGCATCAGA